ATCGAACCGAACCGTGGATTTTGTGAACCGTTCCACACCTAATATAGATATATATTCATTCTAGCAACTTTTGTTGAAATGAGCATTTTCCCATTCAGCTCTTTCTCCGCCTCAAGCTTCTTTTCCGAACATACGGCTTAAAGATGAACCGGAAGCAGTTCTACGCAAAAATATTGCGCTATAAAATATCTGATGAAATTGTTTTCATACATCTTCTTTTTAAATAAAGCATTTTAAATGTCACGATAATCACATTTCATGGATTTTAATGCCAGTTAAGGCCTTATTGTAAAAAATAATTTTATGATTTTTAATGACGTGCGGAAAGCCTGGATTTATTATTTCTGTTCAAACACCTGCTGACTGTTGAATGGACATTCTACTTTTCATTTTTGCATCTTAGATAGAATATTCTATTAAAGTTGTTTTCTTTAAACGCCCACAGGGCGGTGCTGTTATTCCTTACAGCTACAGGCTGGGACCACTGGGTGGCGCCATGGAGCAGCAGCTGCGGCCTGTTTTCTAATTAGTCTCCAGGTGGATTTCTAACCCGCAATCATCAATGATCCCTTTGCATTTTTACTAAATCTAGAAATCAAGCAGTGAAGTCATGAAAGAAAGGGTGAATGAATGAATAACATCAGCACCAAAGCAAGTGGCTAAAATCCGCAGCTGCAATACGAATAATAATAACAACACGAAGCTGCAAAACGATGCAAGAAGAAAGAGAAATGCGTTTTTCTGCTGCGGCGCAGAAAAAGCATTTAAAGAAAACAACCAAACAACAATTAGAACAAGTTTACAAACATCCCAGCTGCTCACATAAACAAGCTGCTGGCTGAGGCCCGCACAGCGCACACAGCGGCGCAAACTGCAGAGTCGGGATATTTTGCGCAGTTTTTTTGATTGTTTGCGGACATTCTTTTCAGCCGCGCGCAAAGCGCAAAAACTCACCCAGGTTTTCCCGTTTTCCACCATATTTCTGCAGGTCCACAGGTTTTCCACGCCACGTCCGTCCCGCTCCTCAACTGAAGCCTGTCGCTGATCCACAGGGTCACGCAAAGGTGACGCCTTCACTGACAACAGGGCGCGTGGGCTCTTTGGAAGTCTGCTTAAAACCCACGGGAAGAGAAATTCATCTCTATGGATTATATATATAGATCGATATATAAACATATGACTGTATATTTACAGTTCTAACGTTTTTTTTGTGTGTTTTGATCTCTAATGGACTGTGTGTGTTCATCAATTAGTTTATTTAGATTTTTTTGTC